AAAAAAATGCACTACTTATAAAAAGAAATGTGCAACTGGAAATAAATTATAATAAAACCCTTCAAAATGAAACGGATTGAATGCAATTATTTTATAAAAATCTTATCAAAATACATTTTGAAGAGCCTAAATTGCAAACGAAGCAAAAGAACGGTGCAAACAAGGCTTCGCAAAAAGCTTTGCAAGTTTTAATTAGAAAGATCAAGGAAGGCAAAGATTATGAAACCAAAATTATTTATTTAGAAGAAAAACTTAATAAAACAAAAGAACAATTAGAACAATTAAATTGTACTATCTCTAGAAAAAACTCTAATATTGCATATTTTATTAACAAAATAAAAACAATAGAACAAAAAAAAAACCGATAAAATTTAATGTACTATATATATAAACAGCACATCGATTGTAAATAGATTTGTAAATAAATATGTAAAAAATAAAAACTCTTAGTTAGCTATTTCTTCCTTAGTCCTAGCTTTAATATTTTAATGTTGAAGTTCGAAAAGTGTATTAAGTGTATTAAGTGTATTGTGAATACATTTATTATACCATTTTTTCTTTACTACTTTATCGACGACTAAAACATGTGATAATCATTAAATCACGTGAAATTTCAATGATAAATTTTTAATATCAATATTGGTCTTTTTTTTTCACTAAATTAACAAAAAACGATATAGAAAATAAAATATCTTATTTCACGTTTTGTAACTGTATTATGTGTATGAGAAACCCTTATTTAACGAAATATAAACATCGAAATCAAAAAATTTATATATTAAATTCACAATGAAAACATTAGAAAGTACAATATTATCAACTAAACGCTTAAACCCACAAATCTCATAACTTAATCTTCAAAATTAACGTAATCTCCTTCCCAACGCAGCTAAATAATTCATAGCCGAAGCCGCTATTTTTCAACTCAATAATGAATTATCGTTACTACACCTCTTACGCCCTAGCCTTATAATTAATATTCGTATTAAGCATAGAAATTTCATTATTAAAATTATTCTCCAGAAGCGAGAACTTGCTGAGCATCAATAAAAATACCACGAATACCGAGCAAAATTTATCAATTTGAAAAATTAATACTATTGAACCTTATTCTACAATTTTTGATTATTATTTTTAATTTTTTACTTCTTTTTCTATTATTTGTTTCTGAACTCTCTTCATCTGAATTCTCTTCGTCTTAACTCTCTTCGTCGTCTGAACTCTCTTCAAAACTCTCTTCGGAGCTTTCGGCTAAGTTTTCAACTGGTTCTGTTTCTTCAGTGACGTCATCTTGAATCCCTAATCTTGTTCCTTCTGCGACGTCATCGACTTGAATCTCTGATCTTGTTTCTTCAGTGACGCCTTGAGTCACTTGTTTTACGTTTGGAAATGGTTGTATTAAATAATTACTTGTTGAGATGGGTTGCCCCGTGTAAAAAGATATCCTGTCTCTATAGCGTTTGATTTCTATGCTAGTGTGATAGTTGATAAGGTGGCGATTTGATAAAGTTCTTTGATAACTGCTGCAGATAATTTGTCTTCCTTTTTCAGTGTATTTATTTAAGGGTTTTCGATTATAAATTGGATTTTTCACAAATTTCTTGGTTAAATATTGTCAAGTCTTTATTTTATCATTTTTGATGTAATCATCTTCCGCGAAACAATAGCAAATAAATCCATTTTGTAATTTGTGTATCTCTTGATGATTATAAAAAACTCGTTTACGATTCAAAAAGAAAAGACATTTCTCAAGACCTGATTTTTTTTTCAAAATGTTTATTATCACGTAATATTTAGGCTTAGTACACATATATAAAACGCGTTTTTTCATTCAAAATTTTCAATCTACAAATTTTTTTCAGGTAGTAAAAAATCCCAATTAAAACTGCATGTTTTACATTATACAAAATAAATTCGGTTTAGACATGTGTATAATTTAAACTATATATTTAATTTTGATGATGAATATATAGTTATTATTTACTATCGATATCAACTAAAATTAATTTATAAATATGTACTATAATTTAAAAATAACTACCTTACTGTGTACCGCACGTTATAATTACCCTCGAGTATACACAATACTATCGAATCAGAAGTATAAATATTGATTTTTTTTTTCCTTTTGTTGAATAAAAAAATAATTTATATTTTTTTACTCGAACAAAAATACTTTTTAAAATATGACCTCAGTAGACCCATTTTATGTCCAAAGAATTGCTAGGAGGAGTGGAAACAGATATTACGTTTGTAAAATTTGTGGATCCTACCAAAGGAACCGATCAATTAGACATATCAACGAACACACCCCTCAACAAAGAGCATATCAACGTAATATTTTTCATCGCTACATATATACACCAAGACAAATAACAACTAGCTCAACAAGTAACCAACCAGAACAAATAACTAATTCCCCAACAGCTAGTTCCCTAAGGCGAACAACTGGTTCCCCAAGGCAAACAACAACTGGCACCACAAGTAATCAGCAAATACCATCCCAGAGTAACCAGCCAATACCAGTCGTTGACATAAGGCCAGAACCAGAGAGTCAAACAGCTGATGTCGTGGAAGAATCAAGTGATTCAACAAGGTTACCAGTCGAATTCTCGGAAGAAAGTACTGATGAGAGTTCAGACGATAGCTACCGCGAAGAAGACAATAAACGTAGAAAAAGTAAAGGGAAAATAATATTCAAAAACTGCACAATAAATAATAAATTCAAAAAATTAAGAATAAACCTTTGAAATCTCATATATTTTATTGGTACCATTTTATTTTATCTTAATAAAGTAATAAATAAATTTTGAAATCGATCTTTCGTTGATTTATGAACACGTGACCGCAAACATCTTAATTAAAAAGTTCGTTGTTATCATAAAGTTTAAACAAATATCTATATGCTATATACATAACTGTATTTTAGAAGTAACTAATAATTTATATATGTATATAATATTATTAAATTTTCATAATTAAAAATGGTCTAAATATATATGTATATATGACATTGAGTAAATGGTTTACATTATCCCCCCTTTTGAAGCAGAGATATAACGTAAACCACCGAATTAAATTGGTCTGGCCTAATAGTAGTTAGTTAGTTACTTTGTGAACGATAATAATGATATATAGTTAAACGTATTATTTGTTATAACGGAATCACTTGTAGCAAGTGGGATAACTTTTATTTAACTATTTATATCAAAATACAATGAACTTTGATTAAAACCTAAATTTCAGAGGCTTTCTAAATAGATGATTTTTAAATTTAGTTGAATCAAAGAGAACGAATTACGTTTATGCCTTAAGACATTTATATGATATATAATAAGTGAATGCTCTATGTTCATCTCGTTCAACTCCAATTCCATTTTGATAACAATAACCAACCATATACGTTCTAACAGCATCTCCCATATCAGCAGACTTTTGGTAATAGAAGAATGCCCTAGATTCATCTTGCTCAACTCCAATCCCATTTAGATAACAATAACCAACCGTATATGTTCCAACAGCATCTCCCATATCGGCGGACTTTTGATAATAAATGAATGCGTTTAGTTCGTCTTTTCTAACTCCAATTCCAGTTTGATAACAATAAATGTTCCATTGACATTACCCATCACAGAGGACATTTGAAAATGAATGAATGCCTCACGTTCATTTTTTTCAACTCCCATTCCTTCATAATAGCAATACCCAACGTTATATGTTCCTTTAGCATCCCTCATTTCAGCAGATTTTTTATAATACATGAACGCCTTAGTTTCATCTTTTTCAACACCAATTCTGTTTCTATAACAATATCCAACGGTGAAAGTTCCAGTTATATGGCCCATATCAGAAGATTTTTGATAATGCACTGGTAAAAAAGTCAATTATTAACTAAATAATAACCAGTAATTTCTGGTACAAATTATAACTTATTTACTCTTA